CTACAGTAAAATTCCACCAAGTCTGAGGGGGAAGCAAGCTGATAAACAGGAGTCAAAACTCTTTTCAAGAAGCAAAAGACATAAAAGGCCTTTTTCACAGGGCCTGTGCTTCAGTGTAAACTTCTCATCCAAGGGTTTGCGGGTAGGAAGTTCCTGTTGAGACTAACATCTTCATTGCCCTCTGCTGCCATATTCTCCTTTGCTCAGCTATTGCTTTTGCATAGAACCCTGGTCAACTGGGCTTATGCAATCCCACTGCACTTAACTTTTTTCTCCCAGATGCAGAACCCTGCCCCCTTGCTGTGAGTGTCTTAGTTGGGATTTTATTGCTGTGAAGAGACACCATGAGTCTTATAAAGGAAACTCTTATACAGGAAAACATTTAATTGGAGCTGGCTTACAATTTCAGAAGTTTGGTCCATTATCACCATGGTGGAACATGGCAGTGTGCAGGCAGATATGGTGCTGGAGAAGGAGCTAAGAGTCCTACATCGTGATCCACAAGCAAAATAAGAAAAAAATGGGCATAGCTTGAGCATATGAGACCTGAAAGCCTGTCCTTACAGTGACATACATATTCTAACAAGGCCACGTCTCCTAACAGTGCCAATCCCTATGGGCCAAACATTCAAACACACGAGTCTATGGGGTCCAAAACCTATTCAAACCATCACTGTGAGCATTTATAGCATGACACCATTTCATATGGCTTATCATCCCTGCTATGGTGGGGTACACCTTTAATTCCAGCACTTAGGAGATGGAGGTCAGTGGATCTCAGTGAGTTCAAGGCCAGCCTGATTTACACAGTTCTGAGCCAGCCAGGGCTACATAGTGAAAAACCTTGTCTAAAAACAACAAAAACCCCTCAGATTAACTGGCACAGTAGGAGACAAGACTACCCTTGGCACACACAAGACCAACCTCTTGTTCTGCACAGACTCACATGTAACTGTTCAATCAAATGCAAAAGGGATCCCTCAGGAAAGACTGAGTTTGTTCTTTCAGGTTTCCTTGAACTCTCATGTGACTTGTTTTGGCCAATGAAACAGTCCAGGAAGGGGTAATATCAAGAGCAAATATCTAAGAGTCTAGGGTTTGAATGAGACAGGTACATTCTGGGGATAGCCAGATGTGTGGCCAAGGCAGGAGAGAAAGGGAGGCGAGTCTAGGCAACCAGAGGAACCAGACATTAGAAGCTTTGTAGAGCATCACAGGGATGTCTTTGAGACAGGGTCACGGGTGACCTAGGTGGCCTCAGACTTGGTATATATCAGAAGACCTTAACTTTCTGATCCTCTGCCTCCCCGTCCCAAGTGCTAAGGTTATGGGTGTGCCCTCAGCCCAGGTTGTCATGTTGTGCTGGGCAAGCACTCTACAGAGCTGCAGGCCAAGTCGCAGCACAGGGATTTGAAGGGAGGGTTAACTGTGTGCCCAGGGGAGGCAAGAGAGGGTGCAGGCTTCCCTAGGAGGAGCTGAACTTTCAATGGGAACTTCTCAACATAACAGTCACGGCCAAGTGTTTTTGTTTTCAAAGCTTCCAGGGGGTTAGTAATAGAGGGAGGGCAGTAAAACTCTTCCTCAAGTTCAGTTGCTTCCAACACACAGTGATAGAGGACAACGGAGGTTGTTTATCCCTTCCTTCCCCTAACTCAACCCCCCACACCCCCACACCCCCAAGGAGCTAGTAAAAGTACAGTGGAGGCTGAGGAGACCAATGTACCAAGTGACGACAGTAGCCATCACTCTACTATAAAGCATATAGATGATTTACGGTGCCTAATTTCATTTTCATGTCAGAAAAGTGGCATTTTCTCAACTTCAAAGAATTGTAACCTTGTTTGGAGCTTTAAAACAACCATCTTCCAGTCTGAGGCTTTGTATCCTCTTCTCCATGGTCCCTTTGTTTCTTCCTGTCAGCCACAGGAAAATGTCAAGTTCACTATTGAACTTCATTAAGTAACTTCAAGTCGCAGGGTACAATCATTTTCCCATGAGAGCCCCCAATTTTTATACTTGAACAAAAGATCTTTAAACAAAAATATTTGACATTCAGCCCAGGAAATCAGAATACAAGCAGTTCCAGCAGAGCCGACCCTGTAATCTTCAAAACCTAACACTCCATTCTTAGCACACTGTGGAGACTTGATCTCCCTTGGTGAAGCCTTGTTCCTCCTGGACTGAAACTTCTCAGATAGCTCTGGTCTCCAAGCCTGCATGCCTCTCTGAAGGTCAAGGTGACTATGGAATTGACTCTGAATAAGGACATGAGCCTACGCAATACACTTCAAACCACACAGCGGCAGTACCTAGGGTGCTGCAAGTCAGGAGAGCTTATACAGCAGAGAGACCCCAGGGACATGGAAGGGTGCAGACTGGATTTCAGAATTCTCCGAAGCATTCACGGAAGTCCTAAATCAGACTGTAGTCTGCGATTGTGTGTATTTAAAACATAAACAAAGGATAGTGTGGGGGTGGGGGTGGGGGATTTTGACTCTAGATCTGCAAGTAAACATTTAAAAAGAAAGCCAAGTCCATTTCCTTTCTGTGACACACACAAAGGCAGTTTTAGGGCATTCAGGAAGTCTTAAGGCCTCTTTCATTCATTTCATGCAGCAGGTGCCTAAGGAAGGCAGAGGTGGTCACTTCCATGGATAACTACTCACTTTGCCTAATGATGAGCTTTTTAAAACTATCACCTCCTATAAACCTGAACCGTACTATATCTACTATAATCACCAAAACTGTGTAGTCTTTTTAAAAATGTTCTTAAAATGTTAGTGTAAAAAGGTTCCCACAGTTCTAAGTAGTTAAAAGTTAAATAATTGATAATAACTATGTTCTCCGCATAATAAACAGTGGCTCTTAAAAATCTTTTGTTAAACAGAATCAGAACACAGTCAAGACTGTTTTATATACTGAAGACAAGGATACCATGGAATGGTCTAATATCAGGCATGTGCAGCCACAAACTGGCAAGCCCTGGGATTTTTTTAATCCTATACCATTTTGCCAGTCATTACCAAGACAAACATAATAGTAAAATATAAGTTAAAAGAGACTTTTAGGGGTTGGGGATTTAGCTCAGTGGTAGAGCACTTGCCTAGCAAGCATAATGCCCTGGGTTCGGTCCTCAGCTCGGGGGGGGG